GGTAGACATATGTAGAGAGGAAGGATGGTCCAGTTCTTAGGGCTTTCACCTGGGATTTGGGAAATCTGAATTCAATTTCCTACTCTGACACAAATTGCCTGTATGAGCTGGGGTAAGTGATTTACGCTTTCCTCAGCTTCCCATCTGTAAAATGGGGGAAATAGCACTTTTTTACCTCCCAGGGGTGTTGTGAGACTAAATACATTAGGTACTAAGACGCTATGGTGATGGGGGCCATATAAGTACCTTAGATATTTGCACTATGCTGAATTAGGGCCCTTACTTGTAGTAAAGCCCACAGGTTGCATGGTTCCAATGAAGTGTTCTTATGCTACTATGAGTGTACATAAGAACCTATAAAGAATAGAATAGGTGGGACAGACACCGCCGGTGTAGGGGATTGCTGTGGATAGGAGGCAAAATGCTAATTTGCCTGAGCTGTCCTCTCTCTAACCAGTTATACAACTGCATTTGTGCATTTTCTCCCTTTTGGTGATGTGCCATATATTAGCCTTGCCTCTCAAGAGATCAGTCCACTGTCCAAATATTGTCCATGGCCTTATGGATCTAGCACAGCACAGAAAGCCACAAGTATTTTCTTCGGGACCAAATCCCATTTAGTAACCACTAGTATGGCAATTTTCACCCCCACAGGTGTGCACAGTGCAAGAATGTAGAATTATACAGTGCTCCTTTCTGAAAGTAATGGCGCTTCCTTGGCATATTCCACACATTACCGAACTAATGGGCACGCATTCCAAGTGAGTGTGAGTGTCAGAACACCTACATCTAAAGGACCACATTAAAGTGATCCACAATCAGGCCAGTCGTTTCATATAAAAAGCAGTAAAAGCTCTCCAACTTAACCTAATAAATTATCTTTATATAAACAGTTTTATGTAAAGTGCAGAAGTCTAAGAAAAACTGTTTTAATGGTTATATGAAAGATTTGCAAATCTGTGAAAATAAGTTAACATGATATATTTTTCAAGTTAAAAAAAAGGTGTGTGTGGGGGGGTGGGGGGGTTAAAATTGCCATGGTAAAATGCAGAATAATGAAGCCTCAGTTTCTTTTTCATGAGTCTAACTAGCTAAAATAAGAAAAGACTGTTCTAAAAACTAATTTAAAAAGTGGATTATTAAAGCATTATAAGTCAGCTAGTAGGAATCAACTCTTGCACCTGCACTTTTTATGACCAACTGAAGAAGACTGGAATGAACAATAACTGACCAGCAGTCATGAATAATACAATGTATGGGTGAAATCCTGGTCCTACTGAAGTTAATAGCAAAAATCCCATTGACTGCAAATGGATTTCTCCTTGTAAGAATCTATAGCTATATTTGACTGTTTGCATCTGTAGATTTTTTATTCCAGCACACTGCTGAATGATGCAAAAGATCTGCTCTAAAAAATCACAGGCATGGTTAATATAATATGGCAGATATTCAATAGTAAAACTGTGAAATAATAAAAAACTATGTTCAAAATTGCTAAGTTGTGACTTAAACCTGAAAAAGCATGGAAATTCAGAGCTAAGAGAAAGTGCCCATTGTTAATTTCCCCCATTGTGCCTAGATATTGAAGAAGGTATGTTATGCAGATTACTGCCATATCTTGGCACAAGGAAGTGAGTTAAGCATGGAATTACACTTTAAATTCTAAGGGTCAGATTTTCAAAGGATTCTCAATCCAGTCTCCCTATCTTGTGTGCCAATCATTTTTGCAGGCACACTTTTTATGTGCTATTACTTTTACACAGAAATGACAGAACACACACGTAAAACATATTTTCACCCAGCTTTTAAAACTTAGTGCCAATATATTACTGACACTGATACCTTTTCATATAAAGATACAAAAGCTTCCCTCTGTCCCCGGCCCCACCCCCACTCCACCCCTTCCATGAGGCCCTACCCCGCGTCTTCGCACCCCTTCCCCACCCCCATTCCAACCCCTTCCCCAAAGTCCCCACCTCAACTCCGCACTCTCCCTGCCCCTATTCCAACCCCTTCCCCAAATCCCCGCCTCCTGCCCCGCCTCTTCTCCACCACCTCCCCTGAGCACATGGCTCCCCGCTCCTCCCCCCTCCCTCCTGGAAAGTGCCTGGAGGTAGGTAGAGGAGCGGGAATGCGGTGTGCTGGGGGGAGGGGAGCTTGGCAGGCTGCAGCAAATAACTCTAGGACGTGTGTTTGAGACCCCTGACCTAGATGGTAAGCAATTTCGGGCAGGGACCACTCTTTGGTGCACGCACCTAGGACAATGAGTCCCAGTACCTGGTTGGTGCTTTTCAGCCCTCTTGCAATACAAATAATTAATATTAATATCAGAATGTTGGATTTAGCAGTGCTGGGATTTAGTGGATACCTTTCCATAATCCAAACATTTTTAAAGTCCCTCACTCTATTCAGTGCTAATGAAATTTTAAAACAACAGCTATATACTTTCCCCTTCCATTAGAAATTATACAATTATACAATTATACAAATGAGTCTTCCATTTTCAGTCAAACTTGACCAGTTTAAAATAAGGTACAACTTTTGTCTAGTATTTTCTTCTCCAGTGGGTGTCTCATCTGTTTCACTAGCCTTGTACCAGCTTCAGAGCAATGGTATGCTTTTTGCAAGGTGACCAAAAACCACACATGCAGTATACTAGAGAAGATAGAGCTAGCACCTTATACACTCACAATATACTGTTACTAATTTTGATTTTTATCCTCATTCATACAGTCAGTGTCTTCTCCTCCTCCTTTTAACCTGTTTTCCTTTTCTACTGCAGTCATACAATGAACTCATTAGTGAATATTTTCTTCTCCACAACCCTTGCATTTCTTTTCAAGTCAGTGCACTGCATGATAGTGCCACTTGTTTGTTTGTTTTGATTTGTTGGGCCAAATTCAGCATTAAATCACCCATTGAGCTTCCACAGTGAGATTGCACTACAAGGAAGTCAGGGCTGAATTTGTATTTTTATTACTATCGTTTCCATTCTTTTCACCAGTTACCAAACAGCACCAATTGCCTCTAAAACTTGCATAGCATTTACATGAGTTTCACCAGAAAACTCTGAACCTTTCTTTGTTCTTACCTTGTTTAGTTAGATTTCCCACTCATTTCGCTGAGTGGTGCAGGTTCACGTTCTGAATCATCCTCAGTGACAGTCTTACTTGAAACCTGTTGGACACCACTAACTACTTCATTCATCCTCTTCCCTTACCACTCAATGTGTTTGCTCATTCACTCTCCTTTTTATAATCCAGCTACTTCGGTGCTGTGCTTCCCACCTGTGCATCCCGTAGCACATGCACAGCTGGGAGTCCTTCTCTCCCATGACTACTTCCGCCTCTTTAAAAACTATCTATGTGTCCTCAAAGAACCTCTCACATTCACTGGTCAGTCTGAAAAATTAACATGTTAGTCAGTCTTATAGTATCAGAAATGACAGTCCTTCAAAATAATGTCCCGCTGTTCCTCACTCAGCTCCAACAAACAAAAACATTTTCTACCCCATGCATTACAGTGTAGTCATTTCAAAATTATTAATTGTATTACAGTAGTGCCTAGGGACTCCCAGCTGAGAATGGAGTCTCATTATGGTAGGTGCTATATAAACACCTGGTAAGAGACAGCTGTTACCCTCAGGAGCATGCAATCTAAGCAGACAAGACAGAAAAAAGGTGGGACAAGAAATAAAGCCATGGAGATAGAGAAGTGAAGGGCCCAAAGGTCAATGGCAGAGCAAAGAACAGAATCCAGGTCTCCTTAGTCTAAATCCAGTGGCTTATTCATAGAATCACACAGCCTGTGTTAATGCTTTTGAAAAAACGGTTGACGCTCACTGGCAAACAGCCCGACCAACTCATGCTGTGATCATGTCAAAAACTCACAAACTAAGCTGGTTACTACTGAATTTATACATGGATGGAAGACACTAGACACAGACACAACTCGGAGATTCATGCTGCTGTTGGATGAACAAGGCCTATCAGGGCCGGTGCTACCATTAAGACTGTCATAACTATATAGGGAAGGGTAACAGCCCTCCTGTGTACAATACTATAAAATCCCTCCTGGCCAGAGACTCCAAAATCCTTTTACCTGTAAAGGGTTAAGAAGCTCAGGTAACCTGGCTGACATCTGACCCAAAGGACCCATAAGGAGACAAGATACTTTCAAATCTTGGTGGGGGGGAAGGCTTTTGTTTGTGCTCTTTGTTTTTGGGGGTTGTTCGCTCTTGGGATTGAGAGGGACCAGACATCAATCTAGGCTCTCCAAATCTTTCTGAACAAGTCTCTCATATTTCAAACTTGTAAGTAAACAGCCAGGCAAGGCGTATTAGTTTTTATCTTTGTTTTCTCAACTTGTAAATGTACCTTTTTGCTAGAGTGTTTATCTCTGTTTGCTGTACCTTTGAACCTAAGGCTAGAGGGGATTCCTCTGGGCTCTTTAAGTCTGATTACCCTGTAAAGTTATTTTCCCTCCTGATTTTACAGAGATGATTTTTACCTTTTTCTTTAATTAAAAGCCTTTTTTTTAAGAACCTGATTGATTTTTTCCTTGTTTTAAGATCCAAGGGGTTTGGATCTGTATTCACCAGGGAATTGGTGAAGAGACTCTCAAGGCTACCCAGGGAAGGGAATTAGCATTTTGAGAGTGGTGGCAGCGGACCAGAGCTAAGCTGGTAGTTAAGCTTAGAAGTTTTCATGCAGGCCCCCACATTTGTACCCTAAAGTTCAAAGTGGGGAAGCAGCCTTGACAAAGACCAACTAGGTGGTTGCCTAGTGCACCAAGATTTGGGGGCACCAAAAAGCGGTGCCCCCAATTTTTTTTACAGCATTCCTGTTCTGGGCTGCCAGCGGAGCGCTGACATGTGCGGCTCAGACTCCCTCTCCCAGTGCAGCGGCTGCTCCATGCAATTATTGTCATTGCCGGCGGGGGCGCCGGCAGCTGGGCAGAGATCCGCAGCTCCACTTAGCACGCTTGGTACGAGCCTGGCGATGGGCGCGACAGCAGGGCTTCGCGAGGAAACGGGCGGCTGCCTCCTGGCTCAGCCTCCACGGTCAGCCCCAGCCGGGGGCACAGAGAACAAAAGAGTCTCGGGCAGCGGTCCGGTGGAGTGGAGGAAGAAAGAGGACCCTGACACCCATGCGTTGGGCAAGGTAAGCGCTTCCCCACAGCTCAGCCTTGGGCGCCTGTGCTCCTGCTCCCCTTGGTCCGTGGCTGGTCCGTGCTCCTGCTCCCCTTGTGCATGGGCAGCTGGAGAGGATGGCAGCCTGCAGAGCTAAGCTGCCCCAGTGCCCCCCCCCTCCCTGCCCCAGCCTCTGTCATGCCCGGTATCTGAGTTTTAAGCCCTGCTGCTGTGTTATGCCTGCAACAGGCAGGCCTAAGCCTCTGAGTGACCCCCATAGCAGCTGCCTGAAAAAGTGCTTGGGGGAATCACGCAGAAGGAGCGTGATATTTGTTTGAGTTCTTTCTTCATGGAGGCTGCGCTCTACTTGGCACAGGACTGCAGTCTCAGCAGGACTCTAGGCCCAGCACCTCGCCTCGGTTTGTAGACTTGTAGTGCATCCCTGTCACCAGGCTCAGTCTGGCACCGCTAGCCCTCACCAGTGCCCAAGAAACAGTCAAAAAAGTTGGATGGACTGGTTAGGTTAGGTTAGTTGTCATGCTGTTGCTTGGCCAGTGTAGAGACCACTGAATGCATAATATTCCTCTATGATGTTCTGTCCTGAGCAAAATTGGCATGTTATGAGGTAGTGCCTGTGAGGGACAGGTGTCTGTTTATGTCATCCAGCCATCATGTCTTAGGTCTTCTGTGGGGGGCTTTTCCATCCTGCTTTCATTGGATCAAAGTCAAAGATTATTCTCACAGGGAAGTTAGTAGGCATTTAGAGCAGATGAGCATACCACCACAGAGAGCACTTGGCAACCATTTGAGAGTATGTGACCTATTTAGTTAGAAAATGGAACTTTTCTTTTAAATTGAGTTTGTACTATTTGATGTTTTTAATCATTTGGAGGTGCATGGCTAGTTGGACAGAATGGGTTCTGCATCACTCCCAGTCAGATTTTGATATGAAGGAAGGAAGTATACCTGACTAAGAAGGGTGTATTTCTGATTACAATCAACATTGCTTTATTTTAAGAGAAAGTCATCTTGATCTCTTAATCAATATTGAAAAGTATTGGCAGCAAATACTAAAATGTCTGATTGCTTTGGTCAGAGTTCTTGGTGTGCAAAACCTGGCCTTTCGGGGAACATATGAAAAACTGCACGCTTCTGGTAATGGGAACTTCCTCAAATTTGTCGAATATCTAGCTTTGTTTGACCCGCTTATGGATGAGCATCTTCACAGGATTAAGGACCAGGAGATGCATGTACTTTACCTATGGAAAAACATACAGAATGAGCTTATTCAGCTTCTATCCAATGCCATCAAACAAAAAATCCTAGCATCTGCTCGTGCTGCAAAATACTTTTCGATCATTCTAGATTGTACATCAGATGCAGGCCACGTTGAACAAATGACCATGATCGTTCAGTTTGTGGATAGGCCTACTTCAGAGACCGAGAATGAGACTGAATCAGTATGCATAAAGGAATACTTCTTGGGATTTGTGTTGCTTATGGAGACAACTGGAGCTGGTATGACAGAAACTATTCTTCACCAGTTAGAAGAGATGTCACTGCCTATAGAAAACTTGCATGGTCAAGGCTACGACAATGGGAGCAATATGAAAGGGAAAGAAAATGGTGTCCAGCGAAGAATTTTGGATATTAATCCACGAGCCTTTTTCGTTCCTTGCAGTGCACATTCATTGAATTTGGTTGTTAATGATGCTGCAAAGTGTTGCTTGGAGGCAACTGCCTTCTTTGATTTAGTTCAATGTGTGTATGTGTATTTCTCAGTTTCTACACATCGCTGGGAAGTTCTAACATGCCACATATCTAATCTCACAGTTAAACCATTGAGTGAAACAAGATGGGAAAGTCGAATCGATGCCTTGAAACCTCTTCGCTATCAGCTTGCTGACATCTATGATGCTCTGATAGACATCTATGAAGACACTACTCTAACAGGATCATCTGGCAATACGTCACAGTTGATGCAAAGGCTCTTAAAAAAGCCATTTCAAGTTTCTTGTTTCTCTTGTTTTATGGTATGACATATTGTTTGAGATCAACATGACTAGCAAACAACTTCAGGCAAAAGAATTCGACATATGTGATGCCATTAATCAACTTGGAGAAACCAAGAAGTTTCATGTGGGCCGCAGAAGTGACGCAGCCTTTGAGAAAACATTGGTAGATGCAGGTGAACTTGCGGAGGAGTTAGATATACCGGCACTTTTTGAACCAGATCCAATCCATATTAGAAAGAAGAGGAAGCAGTTCACATATGAAGCAGACGACGAACCTATTTATAATCCGAAAGAAAAATTCAAAGTGAACTTTTACTTTGCAGTCATTGACACAGCAATACATTTGGTTAAAGAAAGATTCACATTGATGCAGCAAATTAGTTCAGTATTTGGCTTCATATATGATGTTTACAGTTTGCAAAATAAAACACCAAAGCAAATTATGGAACATTGCTTGAATCTGGAGCAAGCTTTGCAAAATGGTGAATCCAAAGATATTGATGCCTTTGACTTGTGCAGTGAATTGCAAGCTATTGCAAGACGAGTCCAAAGGAGTTAATCACCTCAAGATGTGTTGAACTTCATATGGGAAAATAAGCTGACAGATAGTGTCCCTAACACAGTTATTGCTCTTCGCATCCTCTTGACTCTCCCAGTTTCTGTGGCCAGTGGTGAGCAAAGCTTCTCGAAGCTCAAGTTGATAAAAACATACATGTGAACATCAATGTTGCAACAAAGACTTGTTGGGCTATCTATCTTGTCAATAGAACATGACATTGCTCACAGCATTGACTTGGAGGAACTTGTTTCTAAATTTGTTAAACTTAAAGAGCAGAAACATAAATTCTAAATTATAACATGTTACTCTGTGACACTGTATTGTGTATAATGTATGTATTTTTGGGGGGAGGGACGGAAGGTGGAAGTTTCGCCTAGGGCGCAAAATATCCCTGTACCGGCCCTGAGGCCTATGCTGCATCTATCATTTGCCTGCGGAGGGCTGCTGCATGTGAGGTTTGCCACCGATTCCGCCCAGTGACAAACTCACTGCAGTATTCTCCAGAGCAGCAGCTGCAACAGGATCACTTAAACTTGCATAAAGTATTAATTTGAATTTGGAGACAAGTTTGGTACCACACACTTGGAAATCAGCCAAAGCATTCCATATAGGGGAAGAGGGAGGAAGGAAAATAGAAAAGAAAGAAAGAAAGATAGAAAGAAAGAAAAAGAAAAGACAGTCCTGTCAGTGGTTTTAAGCTGCTACATTTTTTTTTAATGGAAAAATTGTTACAAATGAGTTCTTCACATATGTTATTAATTTCATTGCACTGGCTTCTTGCCAGCTAAGCATCAGTCCTGGTTTCTTTGCTTTCAGTTTTAACTAGCAAAACTCATGAGGTCATTAACGAAAATGGACATGAGCTACTTTTTTTTTTAAACACAACTGTTATGGAGCCACTAACTATTCTGGGGGCATTTATTTAATACAACATCAGCTTCTTTTTAATACAGAGATGGGCTTTTCAGCAAAATCTGGTGTTTCTATTATAAACAAAGCAACACATGAAAGACTTAGAACACATTTATTGGTATTGGCAGGGGGAAAAAATCAGAAAATGTAAAAAACACCCATATGTGTTACATAACATTTGTACTTCTTTTTGCTGAAATTTGTATACTGCTTGCAAGAGGCCAAAGAGGTATTGAAAATACCAAGTAATAGAAAATGTGGTTTGGTAACATATCTAAAAAGGGAAATACTGATTTAATGTTATTAACATTCTATTTGGCTTGAATACAACAAGCAAATCCACTCCAAAACAGAATGCAGTTTCATAGATTTGTATGTGATGCCACATCTCCCACACCCAGAGTGCTACATCACACTCCTAATCCACGCATGCACTTCCCACTGACATCAGTGAGCATCACAAAGGTGGTTTGAGAGCTTATGATATAGTCCACAGTTTGCACTGAAGACTTTTTTTTTAATTGAGTCATACACACTGGTGTCACTTAGCTCAGAAAATGGAGAATACATTAGGGCTAGGTTGTAGGGTTAAGTCCCTGCACCTCACTGGCAGCAGCCCCTACCTAGAAGCAGTACACAATGTCTTCAGCCCTACTTTAACAGTGTGCCATGTGTTCTGCTGGTTGGGGAAGAGGAGCTATGGCTCTGCCCTTGCTGTTTACACAATTGGGTTTCTAGTGCCACTGTCCTTTCACATTCCAAAAGCAGGCCAGGAGTCATACTATTCATGGACTGACTACCACACCTCCTCCAATTCTGGTCAGCTCACAGTGCTCATTGGCCATAGTACATTGTGAAGTCCACTGGTACAAGCTCTTCCCAGTCCATCTCCTCCAAGTTTTCAATGGAAGTAATCTTTTAGCAGATTGATAGGCTTTGCAGATCTGCAAAGCAGAGGCATGGTGGTATCCTCCTCTAAAGGCCAGATGATTTTGCTCTTTAGTGCACCTTATACATTACTTATACATATCAGATTTTGTTAAAAGGGAACACTGGACAGTACAGAGCACCTTTTCCTATACTAAATCAATCCCCAAACTGTAGTTCATCAGTCTTGTGTATTGTGCTGATCTATATGCATCCAAAGAAGTGGGCTGTAGCCCACGAAAGCTTATGCTCTAATAAATTTGTTAGTCTCTAAGGGTACGTCTATACTCAGCCGCTAGTTCGGCGGCTGGCAATCGAACTTCTGGGTTTGACCTAGCGCGCACTGTGTGGAGCCGCTAAGTCGAAACCCGGACGGCTCGCCCG